ATTGCTGTCTTCTCTTTAGAGTGAAAGCCACCTAACTTAGAAAAATTGTTCAAAGACAATTTTATCTTGATGTTTTTCGATCAATATAGTTTAGACAGTGTTTTATTGAAAATTGATTGAAAATTGAGGAGATGGATTGCACACACACACTTGAACTTGCTAGATTGATTTCTAACTATTTCATTAATATTTGTAAGTGAAGATTCATGTTGTGATTACTTCCTGAGAAGTGAAATTGACTGACTAATCTGTGGAGTCAAGATTTTGTTCATAAATAGCTCTATAATTCTCTGGGAAATTGAATCAGGGATGAACTTGAAAATTTTTGGTGAAATTACTCAATGATTTGGTTTGTTTTATTTTATTTTAAAAATGAAAAAAATAAAAAAAGGAAAAAAAAAACTGAAAAAATTCAAAAAGATTTTTGTTTTTAGCTTATAGTTTTTTTTTTGGTTTTGATTTGGTCGTTGAGTGTTTTCAAAAAGTCTAATGCAAATTTCTTGCAAAATTTCAAGTTAGAATGACATACTGTCATGTTCCTACCAGTCACCAAAAGTCCCTACCGGTTCAAATATGTTATTTGGCCATAAGCATGTGACTGACCATCTTGAACCGGTTCAAGTCGTGTGCACTAAAGTGCACTGCCCTTCTTGAACCGGTACAAGAAGGCTGAACCGGTTCAAGAGCACGGATTGTGGTTTTAAAAAACAAGCCTTAGGCCTCATTTTTGCATACCATCCGCCATCTCTCTTACTCTCTTTCACTCTACATCCATATATCACTCACACACACACAGATATATATACATATATATATATATATATATATATATATATATATTTACATGGATCATATCAATTTTTTGTCATTCATTCATGATATACAATTGATCATTACATAGTCTATATGAGATTGAAAACAAGAATTGAAGATTATGAGGGTTGAAATTTGCAAAATGGGTTTGAATGGAAGTTATGGAATTTGGGTTTAACATCTTAGAGGATTGATTCAGTTTTGCATTGATTGAAGAAATTGAAGCTTCGTTAGGCTAAGGGAATATAATCTTGCAATTATTGATTAATTTTTGGGATATTGAAGTAGAAATCAAGTCATTCTATCAACACTTTTGGGGTTGCACACCAAGTGTTTGATAGAAGTTCTGAAAGAGTTACAAGCTTCAAAGTAAGAAAATTTGCTAAAGACCATGGCTCCTAAATTGACTGAGGAAGCAAAGGGAAAAGGAATTGCAGATCCAAGACCCCCTAAAAGGTCTCGTATTGGCATCTCCATCCAAGAACCCCAAAGTGGTTCTCAAGCTCCAAGCATGGCTCCTATTCGTTATCCTTCAGTTTCTAGCACTGGAAGTATTGAATTTACAGCAACACATTTCTATAATGAAGAGGCTTGGAGAGTGTATAACTCTGTATACAAGGATGGACCAATCAAAACACAGAGAAATGTTAATCTATAGAAGCTACAAGACACTGCAGGATAAGATCTAGTGAACTACATCAAAGCTCATCATTGGCTTTATTTCACTAGACTCAGCAAAGGTGTTTATTGTCCGGATATGATTAGCTATTTTTATGCTAATATCTGTGAAGTTCATGACACCTACTTCGTTGTATCTCTATTTGGAGTTTATCATACTATTGAGAAGGAGGATATTGAGACTATCCTTGGTCTTCAGGACAGTCAACTTTTGAGTGGACATACTCTCCCTTTGATAGTCTCGGGTCCTGATTTTTCCCGGATTGTTCCAAAGATATGTGTGCCGAACTTCTCACTGAACCGAGATAGTATTCCAACTCGATTTATGACAGATGAAACTGCTTTCTTCAATCTGTTCGCAATGGCAAATCTGGGCTACTTTGGGAAGAAGGATGAACTCTCCCTTGAGCGCGCACAAGTGCTTTATTTTCTTGCTAATAATGAGTATATTATGCTTAGAGAGTCTATTGTACAGCTTATGATAGCTCATTACAAGAAAAACTCGCGCAAGTACTCTTCTCCCTTCCCAATGATCATCATGGAAATTCTGAAAGCAAAGAATGTGGCAATTCCTCCAAGGGCTAATCATAAGCCTATCATGACTGAGTTAGACCCTCACGCTTTGCATAAGTAAAAAGCTGCTCGTGAGAATGCTAGAAAGGCGAGGAGATCTGTTGAGGAGGGGCCGTCACAAGGTTCAGAATTTACTCAGTTATTTTCTTCAAGGGGGACTTTCATGAAATCCGATGCCAACCTCATGTATTCTCATCTACTTCAGCATCAGAATTCATTATTTGAGAAGATGATGGTTGAGATCCGAGATCTCAAATTACAGGTCGCTCAACTGAGAGGACAGCCATCTGGGGTGCCGGATGAGGATGTCTACAGGCCTGAGCCTCCAAATCCGTCTCAGCAAGCTAAAGATGAGGGCGATAATGATGAGGGGCCTGAATATACAGATGAGGATGAGGAGGATGAGGATGAAGAAAAAAGTGGTGAAGACTAGATGATGTGTTTTTTTTTTTTTTTTTTTTTTTTTTTTTTTTTTTTTTTTTTTTATCTCTGAGTGGTTAAGAGGACATGGTGCTGTTTTTATTGATTTTTCATCATGCATCATGACATCATGTTTTGTTTTAATTATTGCACAACTTGTCTTTGTTTTTGGATATTCCTGGAATATGCTTTCCTAGCTTTTATTATACTTATCCAGATTATGCTTTCCTTGACTTCTTTGAATTGGAATTTACTGTTTTTTTTTCACTCCTGTGTCAATTTGTTCCAAAAAGGGGGAGAAAACTTGGATATTTACTTCAGGAGGAGTTTTTAAATTTTTATTTATTAAACTTCACTGATAGTTGTTGCTTGATAGTGTGCAGGAAAGAGGTCAAGTTTTGAATCCAAGAAGAACAGTGTTCTTATTACCTTTAAGCAAATCATGTAATTTACTTTTCTGCTTTGGGTAGATTGCATATTTTGTTTTTAGGTTTTTGTTACGAAATTGCCAAAGGGGGAGATTGTGAGATATTATTTATGTATTGGCAATTATCGTAAATATAACAAGTCCAAGTTGAGTTGTAATTTATATTACTTGTTCTACAAGTCATCAAGTTCAACAGGAATTACATAACTAGGAAGGAGTTCAAACTTACCATACTTGAAGATTTTTGAGGAAAAAGGTAAGAACACCACGTTGGAAGGATTCTAAACAAGGTTGGACATTCTACACTTCTTATTTTCTTAGGAACAAGTGTTTACATTCTATCCATCTTGAACTGGTTCAAGATTTATCGAACAGGTTCAACTTCAGCATAGTCGAGATTTTACACTCTGTCTATTTTGAACCGGTTCAAGATTTATTGAACAGGTTCAAGAAGTCCTGTTCACTATACAACTTTAGTTTCCTTATTTTGAATTGTTTCCCAGTTGGTCTAGAATTGTACCAAATCCTATGCACGAATTTTACCTTATTTTTAGAGGGATTAGGTCATTCTAGACTTTATATAAACCATGTCATATACATTGGTTTATTCACGGTTTTTACATTCTAATTCAGATATTATTCAAAACCTTAGGAAGATTAATTGTGCAGAAAATCAGAGTTGATTTTTCTGATATCTTTCTAGAACACATACACATATTCTCCTAGATAGGTTATAGTTATGGTGTTCGTATCTTGATCGTAATCATACAGTTGTATCAACATCGATCAGACGAAGCAGATCTTCTTCTACATCATTCAGACGATTGAAGAACAGAAGTAAACGCAGTCACACTTTGAAAGGATTTGAGCATTCGTAGAGTGCTGTCTGATCAACCTGCTACTCTTCTATAAATATCAAGTGTCAGTCTGAGATCAAGTTGCTGTTGGACGAGGAGTCACAAAGCTAGAGGATCGTCAGTGGTTGGTGTGGTGTAGAACGATAGGGTGTGAGCCAGAGTCAAAGTTCAGTATACTTTGTTCCAAGCATAGTGGATTGGTTTACTTTGGACTACACAAGTCCACGAGGTTTTCCCTACAGTTGACGTATTTTATCAACTGGGGTTTCCTCGCTAAAATCCTGGTGTCATCTCTAACTTATACTTTGCTTTATTTTATCTGCATGTGATTAACGATTTAATTGTTAAAATATAAAATAAGTAAAGTAAGAAAACAGATCTGTTTTATAAAAACAAACAAAAACTTTTCTATATATATTCCACTGCGTACGACTCACACATACATGTAGCAAGGGCGAAACAAGATTCAATCAAAGTGTTGCATTTTCGAAATAATCATATTGCAGTCTACATTAAAGCACACAATATCAATGTGCAATATCATTATTTTTAGGTCAAAATTAGGTGTAATTGTTAATTCAATGAAGGTCGATTAAATCAAGTGCAACACTTTCGAAATAACATTGTTGCAGCATTGAAATAATCATTTTATGATGTTGTACATAACATCAGCAATAATAAAATAATAATAATAAATAAATAAATAAATAACACTAGAGCAGAGTATGATTTTGATCCATGACCAATTCCTCTGAATATTCAAATGAGCCATGTCCAAAATGTCAACAATGGTGTGCAATACGATTTTTTATTCCATGTTTATCAGTTCCCAGTTCATGCATGTATATAATTCTACCCCATATATCAACATCATGACGTGGACACATGCTATAGTCAAGATGACAAAGTCCAGAACCACCACAATTTAAATTCCACGTATGACCCAACAGTTGATTGGCTATCAAGATTAGTTAAACGTAATCAACAAAGATATTGCAAATGGATAGAAATTTTAGCAAAAGGACTTCTAATTTGTCTTATTTATATCAAACCCGCTTCATAATCACTTTTTACCCCCCTAAATATCTCCCTACATATTCTTAATTCTCTGCTTAATCACTTACTCCCTTATTGCTCTTAGAATCGCTCTTAGAATCATATTAATACCATTTTTCCTGATGAAGAATTTTAGATTTTTTAAAACTATTTTATAATAGAGTAATGCTCTATTGAATCATTTGGATTGAAACAATTTTTTCAAATCTGTAAAAAGTTAAATAAATTATTTAATGCATCTTTCAATTCATGAATTAAAAAATGAGAGCTCATACTACTTCTCATGATAGGATCCTCTTAAGAGTATTACTCAACCACATACGAATATGTATATGTTGATCACTCCCTTACCACATCATTTAATCAGATCATTTCTTCCCCTTGAATTGCATTACTCTTAGTAAAATTCAATTACTCTCTAATTCCTTATTCCTATAATGTCAAATAAAGTGAAAGCTAGTTCTTATGATCTATAAGTGTTTATTTTTATTATTTTTATTATTATTTTGAGTTCAAGGATGTTAAATGATATAGATGACGCAAAAGAGGGAAAGCTGAACCCATACCTATACAGCTGTTACACTTTGGGCGACCTCTTTCTATCAATAGATCGGCGGGACATGGGAGCCTCAGCTCATGCAAAAAGAGGGGTGAAAACAAATTAGCTAAAAGATACCTTGACCATGGAAGAATAGTGTCCAAGCAAGAAAACACCATTAATCACCATAAATTAACTTCCTCTAGTACTTAGACTAACCACCTAAAAATGGAAGAAGTGAAGGTGCATGGGTTTTGGGCTAGCCCTTTTAGCCACAGAGTAATATGGGCTCTGAAACTAAAAGGTGTGAAGTATGAGTACATAGAAGAAGACCTCCAAAACAAGAGTCAACTGCTTTTACAGTATAACCCCATTCACAAGAAGGTCCCTGTGCTTGTTCATGGTGGTAAACCAGTTGTGGAGTCCCTTGTCATTCTTGAATACATCGAAGAGACATGGCCGGAGAACCCATTGGTGCCAGAAGATGCTTATGAGAAAGCCATGGCTCGATTTTGGATTAAATTTGCAGAAGAGAAGGTAAATTATCATAAATATATTTTTATCTTAATTTAATAGATTGGTTCTGTACACAGTACTTGCACATGCAATATTCTTGTAAGATCACCTAAAACTCGTATCCATTTGGTTCAGTTTTCAAAACAATTCTTGAGAATTTAAATATGTTTTCAGATAATTATAAAAGACTGATCTCTCAAATCGTTTTATTATTTTTTTATTGTTTTGTTGAAAAAGGCCAATTATCGGTTATCCTCTTAATTCAGGGTTGTACCTGCTTTAATCCCTTCTTTTTAACTGGAGAGGCACAAGAGAAAACGATCGAAGAAGCAATGGAAGTGTTGAAGATTGTTGAAGATAGAGGCCTTGGAGATAAGAAGTTCTTTGGAGGTGAAGCCATAGGATTAGTGGATATAACATTTGGGTTGTTTGGTTACTGGTTAGAGTGCTTTGGAGAAGAAGTAGGGGTGAAATTGCTGGAACCAAGCATTTTGCCCCGATTTTGTGCATGGGTTCAAAATTTTAAGGAAGTTGCAGTGATCAAAGAAACTCTTCCTGATCGCAAAAAATATATGGCATATTGTAAATGCTTGAGGGAGAAGCTTATGACAAATTCTGCAAAGTAGCACCTTGCTAGCTAGAAAATCGGAGTGTTGTGAAGAATTTAATAAAGGAGATCGAATCACAAAAGCAGCTCTCAAGAAAAAGAACTGTGGGTGAATTTTTGGTCCATATGAATGCTAGATTTGTTTGTTTAATTACCTGTGTTTCATTGTGTGATGATATTTAGGTCTACGTATTAAAAGTGATAAAATAAATAAATTGTGTTTTTAAGAGGTAATATATCTATTTACCCTATAAAAAGTGTATTCTATTTCTATTTTTTATATACACTTTTTGTATTATTGTACACGTTTTGACTTTTAAAAAAAAAATACCCTTTCGTTTTATTTTTAAAATTCCAAAAAAACAAAACAGTTTTCCTTTTTGTTCCCCTTCTTTTTTTTTAAAAAAATATCAAACAGTTTTAACCCTTTAGTTGAAGACATTGTCACTTAGTTTTATTTAAAAAAATTATAAAAAAATTAAACAGCTTCCCTTAAGTTCCTCTTCTTTAAAAATAAAATAAAAATCAAATAATTTATGAAAAACAAAGAAATAAACGGACACGTCTTCCTTTTTCACGTATACATGGCGGTTGGTGTACGAAGAACATTATATAATCCGCTGGGATCTTGCCTCTCTCATCCTTTATCATTCCATCTCTTCTTTCAACATTTTCTTGTCATCTAACTCAACTTTAAAGTGTACCCAAGAAAGTCAGTATTTGATTTATGCAGAGAACTTTAGGCTTATTTTGACTTAAGGTATGTTGTAATATATATTTCGTATTACTTATGTTTTTGTTTTTGAGAATACAGAAAAAGTTTTTCCTATTCTGAGTCAGAATTATTCATCATGGTGTTCTCAATATGCTTATTGTTTAATATATTTATAGATATAAATATATGTTATAATATCTGACGAGCTTGGCACATAGTATGAATAAGTAGTTATATATATATTATGCATACAAAATCAACTTCAATGGTGACATTATGACATGGATCTTTCTTAGAATCAAACTCTGATTCCTACTTTAGTTCACGCTTGAGCATAAATTGCTTTATATCTTAGTAGTTATCTATATTTTTGTTTTTGGTTGCTTATCTACTTGATTTAAATTGTTGCAGTATATCTCACGCTTGAGCATAAATTGCTTTATATCTTAGTAGTTATCTATATTTTTGTTTTTGGCTTGCTTATCTACTTTATTGAATATATATTTTGTTGTACTTATAAAACATAATTGATTGATTGTTTCTTTCAATACGTTACTCTTGTGTTTCGAATAACTAAGTAATAGTTCTATTTGCATAAACTGTTTCCAGTTTGATTAATTATTTAGTTGGTCATTTTAAATTAGAAAAAGATTGTGCTTTGATTTATTTTTCGAAGATATCTCATTGTGAAAATTAAACAGTATTTTCAGTATTATTCTTAAATAGAAAATTCATACCATGGTTTTTCTCTTTTTTTTTTCTCCCCTTTTAATTGTTATTCACTCTATCCCAATTACTTCAAACAATTCTTTTTAAATTGAAAAAATTACATTCCTGTAGGATTCATACAATGATTATTTTTTTTCCTTTATTATTGTTAGTATTGAAATTCCTATCATTTGAAGCTTTCCATAATTGTTTCACTCCATCCCAATTATTCTAAAATGTTCTTTTTAAATATAAAAAAAAATTCGTCGATTTTTAAAAGTCATATCTTATAAGATAATTAACATTTCATTTAATAATATTAGGTAATCATGTATTCATTAAAAGTCGTGTCTCTTAAAATAACTAATACAACTTTCAGTCATTTTATTTAAGAAACGTGTCATACTATAATTATACAACTTTCAGTATGAATCACGTTCAAATAAAAACATTGAAAACGTCAACGCAATATTTAAAAATTAAAAATCTATTTTACCATCTAATTTTTAACCATCCAAGGCCAACTAAAGCCCATCCTCACTTTAAACCCTTTTAAGGAAATATTATATATATATATCACTTTAAAACACAAAGTCGTTGGATTGGAGACAAATTTCCTTTTTCCAAAAAAAAAAATTGTTCTTTTAAAAGTTAATTCCTTGTTCCTTTCTAATCCTTGAGATAGATTATACAATTTAAAACAATTTTAAATTGTCAAAAGAGGTCCGTACCAATTAGGAAAAAAAAAAAATTTAAAACAATTAATTTAAATAAAAATCATTTTAATAAAATAACCATTTTCCCTTTTTGATGAAAAATGACCAATTTTAAATTAGTTCATTCTTTCTCTCTAAACCTTTACTTTCTCTCTTAATCTTTTCTTAACAGCATTTATATCTTCTTCCATAATCTAAAAAAAATCTAACACGATGCACTTGGAATGGTTATTATAATAATAAAAGGTCAAAAATGTATGAAAAGTCAACATTAGTTATTCATTTTATTGATTTATTATTACTATATATATTTGTTTTCACTTTTCTTTATATATAAATAACTTTAAAATAACCTAAATATTAATCATGTTAGTGGATAGTAGCCTATTGTGTGTTACTGTAATACTATCATAATGCATCATGTTTTTATTTCTTTTCTTTTTTTTGTCACTCTTTTACAAAATTAGCCATTTATTAAAATTTATAAAAAGTATCATACCTCATTTCAATCAACTAAATCATTTATATATTCCTGATTTTTGTATTTTGTGGGTCATTGAATACAATATTTAAGTGGTACAAATTTATCACCTATTTTTATTTTTCGAGAGTTTTGAATTCATTTTCCTAATTTCTACTTATCATGTTCTTTTCCGTATCATTAATGATTAACTTTGGCCTTTTTTTCCTAGAATTTTCATCATCATCTTAAATTACTTTATGCTTACTTGTTATGTGGAACAATTCAATGACACACGAAAGTTTTGTCAATCTCATTATATATGCATGAACCTTAAATCTTTTCTTTTTTTTTTTTTTTTTTTTTTTTTCTTTTTTTTTTTTTTTAATGCTAACCTAATTATGTTTATATCCTTGATGAGTATACTGCTAATTTCAAATAAAAGGGGATAAAAATTATGAGTGAAAAATTTATGCTTTACAATTTAGTGTTTTTTTATCTCGTAGTTAATAAAAATCTTCTATTATGTTGACTTATGTGTACTTTTTTTGTGCATTAAATAATAAAGCATTTATTAAGGTCTAGAATAGTTTATTATTTCTTATTGTTAAAACCATTTCCTTATTTTATTTCAATGAATATATAAAATACAGAAAAATTTGTAAGTAGAAAAATATCATCATCTTTGTAAGATAGACCGTTTAATTAGACACAGATTTTTATGAAACACCAACTTAATTTACTTTATATTTTCTATTATTAGATTATTAGATGTAACAAGATTATGTTTGCAAGGTGGACCATTCAATTAGACACATAGATTTCATATGAAAACAACATCTTTATTTACTTTATATTTTTTATTATTAGGTGGAACAATTCAATGAGACATGATAATAGACGCGATAAATTTAACGCATATTATAGAAATAGTTATGAAAATTTGTCACCTGACCAAATAGACAACCATATTCGGAATGTAAGAAATTCAGTAAAGAAATGAAATCGAGTGGCAATTGACATGGTATGTATAAGGATGATAAACTTTGTGACCATAATTTTAAGTCAATATTAAATAACAAATGTATAATTGTTTGCAATACTTTTAATCCACTTATTTATTTATTTATATTTATTAGCTTTAATTACGTGCAACTGCACGTATTAATTTCTAGTATTATAAAATGTAGAAAAATATGTACAGATATTTTGTTATCTGTTGGACTTTTTGTGGGGATTTAGAAGGTTTTTTTTTTTCCAGCCCACTTTGTATACATATTGCCATTTGCCTTGTTAATAAAAAATAGTCACTCAGCATTGGACATAAGTACAATATTATTTCATATGAATCCTAGATTGAGTTACTCTTCTTCTTTATTTTTTTTTAGGATAAATTACATCGACCTTCCCTGAGATTTCATCAATATACACAGACCTCTCCTCTTACTTATCAAATTACACCGACCTCCTCTGTGATTGGATGACGTTAACTATTGTTGTGTAATTACAATTATGTCCTTATACATATTGTATTTTATTTCAAAATTTCAAAGACCAAAATGCCCATATGTATTTTATTAGTACTTTTTAAGTCATGGAAAAAAAAATAATAATAAATAAATTACTTTTCACCTACCATTAAATCTCATTAACTGCTTCTCTCCATCTCCATCTCCATTTCCTCTCACTTCTCCATATCTTGGTACCTAGGATGATTTAGGGTTTCTGGTAGCCTACCATCATGACAAGTAAGTATGTGACTAAATGTTCGTGTTTTTTTTATCTTCTGCCAAATTTCCTATATTTATCTTCTACCGAAAATTGTTATTATACAACTATACAATATATATATATCTTTTGATATTCACTTCTCCTTTTTTTATTTTTTATTTTTTTGTCCTTTTCTTTTATGGAACAAACCCAATGGTTTTTTTTTTTTTTTTTTTTTTTTTTTTTTTTAACTCTAGGAATTTGGCTGATAATCAATTTCCTTACCTAAACAAATTAATAGTAAAGTTTTCCAAACAAGACCTAATAAGATTTAACTAAAGACTAAACAACGAGTTGCAGATCCAAAAAGCATGCTTAAGGTATTTAACAAGGAACGACAACAAACAGTAATAATATAATATTAACTCAGAGGGTATTGGTGTAATTCCATTTGAGTAAGTGGGGATCTAGTTGTCAAGAAGGGTAATGAAAATGGCACTATTGTAACTTTTGATAAAAAAAAAAAATGTTTATCTCATTATTGACTGCGTTGACCACTAACAGCCATTAACAGAAAGGAACAAAGTTTTACTAAGATACAAATTTCAAGGGAGGTCATCGTAATTTGACAAACAAGAGGGGAGGTATGTATATGTTGACGAAACCTCGTGGGAGGTCGGTGTAATTTATCCTTTTTTATTATTATTTATTTAATGCTATCTCTTTGGTTTGTGTTATGGGTGCGCACATGTTTAGATGGTTTAGTAATATTTTGAAACTAATTCGAACAATTAAAAAAAAAGTTTAAAAACCCAACCAATCCGATCATATTATCTAAACTGAAGTGATCATATTAAAAAAACTATTGATTTAGTGGTCAGAATGCAATGCATTTTCCAATCCACATAGTATTGCAATTTTAATGTAATAGTGTTATGTGATTTAATTACACAACAAAATATAGTAAATAATGTTTATAGGCAGATTTGAGGTTCCAGAAAGTCAAAAAATAGCTGTGCACTGTGCACTGTGCACTGTGCATTGTGCATTGAAAACACACACTAATCAATATTGTGAACGCTGAAAACACACACTAATCAATATGTCAGTGTCCAAAGTTCAAAATGATTGAATAGTTTAAATTTGGTTGGCTGTCAGAGGTTGTTTAGTGAACAAGAGTATTCCAAATAAATAAAAGTTTGAACATAGGGCCTTTTAATTTGTCTTATTTATACTTAACCCTCTTCAATTTCTTTAATTAAAAATTAGTGCTTGTGAACCTATCCCTCGGAATACAAAATTTGTACTTAAAAAAATAAATAATAATAAATTCAAGGCTAAGCTTGTAAATCTGTCCTTCAAATACAACTTATTTAGTATGCTTCTAATATCTATACCCTTTTTGAAATTTTATACCTTTTTTAATAGCTTAAAATGAGATATTCTTTTTGTCAAACTATAAATTGTTCTTACTTTTCCTAAGCTAACAACATCTATTCCATTTATTTTTATTGTAAATGATCTTTCAACTTGTTGAAAATTCAAAGTTTGAATCCTCTTAGAGTCATTCCAAGATATTTTTTTGATAATTACACGATACATGTGGGCTGCAGGGACTATACGTGCCTGATTGTCAATCATAAAATGCTCTAACAGACTCGACACCATCATCGTTCAACAAAAAAATTTAATACAAAATTCCAATATCCCATATTATGAAGTAAAGTCAATGTTATTATGAACCATTTTTAAATTATTTACAAAATAGGTTAGAGAACCTGGCACAAACTAAAAACCATGACTCTACAAGGTTTCTTCCTCTAATTCCCAAAATTTGGAAATGTAGTGCCCAAGTAAGAAGGAAGCATTTGTCACTATAAAATTGACATCTCCTGGTACTACACAAACCACCTAACAATGGAAGAAGTGACGCTACATGGATTTTGGGCTAGCCCTTTTAGTCACAGAGTAATATGGGCTCTGAAACTAAAGGGTGTGAAGTATGAGTACATAGAAGAAGGCTTCGCCAACAAGAGTCAACTGCTTTTACAGTATAATCCAATTCACAAGAAGATCCCCGTGCTTGTTCGTGGTGGCAAACCAGTTGTGGAGTCCCTTGTTATTCTTGAATACATCGAAGAGACATGGCCGGAGAACCCGCTGCTGCCCGATGATGCCTACGAGAGAGCCATGGCTCGGTTTTGGATTAAATTTGGAGACGACAAGGTAAATTATGTTACAAATCATTCATCTTTTTTGGTACTTAGAAGATTGCTTATGTATATATATATATACACACACAGTCTTGCACATATATATAGTTCCATAAACACCCCTTGTTAAACCTCGATCAAACATATATATACTTGTTAGTTTTTTTTTTTTTTCTTTTTGGAAAGGTAAATTCAATTAAATTTAAATAAAGAAGAGACAAATGTACAAGACCAAAGTTGGCCCATAGAGAACCGACAAGAACATTAGCCAGTAAGTACATTAGCCAAGCCCTTAGCAAAGCCCAAGAAACAACAAAAACATTAGCCAATAAGCTAAAACCAGAAGACCATTGATGGACAACAGCGCAATCCAAAACGGAGCAAGGAGACAACCTCCTCAGTGGGAGCAGTCTGGAGGTTTCGCCGGTGGTCGGATGGTCAACGGAGGGAGGTCCCATTCTTCTATTAATTTGAGAAGCTCTGATGGAAGATGAAAGAAGTTTGTCTCACATCGTCTAGAGTTAGGCGAAGCAAGGAATTAGCAGTAAGCGATTTCTTCTTAAAAATTCTCCTATTGCGCTCGTTCCAAATGTTATAGATCAGAGAAGCAAAACCCATTTTGGATATTATGTTGCAGAAGTTTCCTGAATTTCTTCTGAAATGGTGAGAAGCCCATGTAACTAACTCTGCTCACGAAGATGGCAAGATGTAATACCCACAACGTGCTTGTAGAAAGTACCATAAGGGCTTGACATAGTCACATTTGAAGAAAAGGTTATCGTGTGACTCCAGTTCTTTGTTACAGAGTATGCAGATGGTAGAATTGATGTGTGCTGTGCATCTTCTATCTAGTGTTGGTAGATGGTTGCATTTTGAAAGGTTTAATGTTTAAACTTTATTCAAAGTTTTCTATAACGACATTAGTAATGGCGCGTGTCCTAATTCAATTATCATAAGCTGAGGCGGAGAGCAAATTTTCATGGACTTCGGCCTATGATTGAGTCAATAAAAGCTATTGGGCTGCATAATGGTGTTACCTTTTATGTCCAATAGACAGAAACTATTGTTTAGTTCAAGGAAATTTAGGTAATTTTTTCTTAATTCAATAGTATTAATTTTATGTCTAATATGTGTCATTTAGATGCATTTGTTATATGTGTTCTGCTTTTATTCAGGGATCGGCAGAGACCTTTCATGATTCAATAGTATAAAATAAATGGTATTGCAGACAATCTTGCTCTTGCAGGAAAGCCGGTTGTTGAAGATGATTTAATTGAATTAATACTAAACGGCGTTGGCCCTCTATATGAGGGAACTATTAACTGAATCCTGGCAAGAGATACATCCATCCCTCTTGATGATGTAGTTGGGTTATTATTAAGCGTTGAAATGCGAATTAAAGAGCAGAACACACTGCCACAAGAACAATCCACAATTGCTCTATTTGTCCCAAAGAGTAATCCCTCTCAACAAAGGACAAATGTCAATTTTTCTAATCACTCGGGAAGTTTCAAATCAAAACACTCGCAATCTAATTCACAAAGCTTCAGATCACAACAACCACAATTCAATTATCAGAGAAGTGCACGAGATTTTACAAGTCCACAAGGCCATTCTTTTACTAATCAAACTCAACCAAAATGTCAAATTTGTGGCCGTCTGGGCCATTCTGCTAAAAATTGCTATCATCGTATGGATCAATCATATGAAGGGCGCGTTCCAACAAAGAAATTAGTTGCTATGATATCCTCAACCAAAACAGGTTCCAATGAGCAAGCTTGGATCGCCGATAGTGGTGCCACGAGCCACATTACATCAGATCTTGCAAATCTGTCTCTTCACAAGGAATATCATGGAGATGATCAGGTTGCGGTTAGCAATGGTGCAGGTTTGAAAATTGACAATATTGGCTCCTCTAATCTAAATTTTCATTCTTCAAGCTTTCAAGTTAATAGTGTTTTGTATTGCCCATCTATTGCTGCCAATTTACTCTGCATCAGTTTTCTCTGTGATAATAATTGTTATTTTATTTTCTATCCTGATTATTTTTTTGTGAAGGATACAAAAATGGGGAAGAGTGAACATGGACTCTATCCTATTCGTATCTCGAATAGACAGATCAAATCATTAGCCTTCATCAGTATGGCACCAACGCCTAGGACATCCGTCTCATCCTATTTTGCAAAATTTGATGTCTCATAATCAATTATTGATACACGGATGTCATACCAAGAATTTTTGTGATTCTTGTCCTTTGGGCAAAAGCACACGGTTACCTTTTTCTTCATCAAATTCTGTTTCTGATACACCATTACAGTTAGTTCACTCTGACGTTTGGACTTCTCCAAATTATTCAATTAAAGGTTCCAAGTATTATCTTGTTTTCATTGATGATTTCTCCAAATACTCTTGGCTTTTTCCAATGCGATTCAAACATGAATTGTTTGATTATTTTATTAAGTTTAAAGCTAATGTTGAAAATATTCTTTCTTGCAAAATTAAATATCTTCAAACAGATGGGGGTCGAGAATATACCGAAATGAAATTTCAAACTTATTATTTGAACATGGTATTTCTCATCGTGTTTCTTGCCCTCACACACCTGAACAAAATGGAGCTTCTAAGCGTAAGCACCATCACATTGTTGACACGGGTCTTACCTTGTTAGCACATTCAAGTATGCCTCTTGAATTTTGGGTTGAAGCATTTAACACTGTTGTTTATCTTATCAATAGTCTTCCAGTCAAATAACTTCAATTCAAGACACCATATGAGAAATTATTTAATCGTTTCCCTGATTACTCCATCTTGCATGTCTTTGGGTGCCCATGTTTTCCTTATCTTTGGCCATACAATAAAAATAAGCTTCAATTTCGATCCAAGCATTGTGTTTTCTTAGGGTATTCACTGAATTATCAAGGGTACCGGTGTTATGGAAAATGGCAGGGTTTATCTTTCCCGGCATGTTGTGTTTAATGAGTCTAGTTTTCCCTTCAAAGGCCCTCAAACTTCTTCAAGTTCACTTGAAACCGTGGCAGCGACTTCCTCTATGATTATTCCTTCCCTTCCAGAAGATTCTCTCCCGCAGAATCATGATCCTCCACCTACCAATTTTTCTTCTTCAATGCCTGCATATGATATATCTACCTCATTCTCACCTGCCCACTCTTCCCCTACAGAAGCCACATCTACCTCATTCACACCTGCACAATCTTCACCAACACAGGTTATTTCCTCCCCTCTTTCATCTCCTTCATCACCTACTCCTAATTTTAATGGCTCAACCCAACACCCAATGACAACAAGACTAAAGGGTGGCATTCGTAAACCCAATCCTAAATATACTTTGCAGGTGAGATTGTCTGATCATGATATTGAACCCTCTTCATTCAGTCAAGCAATTAAATATCAAGAATGGCGAAAAGCAATGTGCACAGAATTCAACGCTCTTCAAAAAGCTGGAACATGGATACTTGTTCCCTTAACAACTACAATGCATGTTTTGCCGAGTAAGTGGGTATTTAAAATAGAAAGAAATTCGGATGGGACGATAGAAAGATATAAAGCAAGGTTATTGGCTAATGGTTTTCGTCAACAAGAAGGGATTGATTACAATGAAACGTTTAGCCCGGTGGTTAAGCATACCACCATTTGTACTGTTTTTGCATTAGCTATTCATCATAATTGGACTATTCGTCAATTAGATGTTCAAAATAATTTTTTACATGGGAACCTAACAAAGGATGTCTATATGCGACAACCTAAGGGGTTTGAGGATCCAAGTTTTCCGCATCATGTGTGTAAACTTCAAAAATCAATATATGGTTTAAAGCAAGCACCCCATGCGTGGTTCAAATGGTTCTCCAATTATATTGAAGAGCTCAATTTTACTCAATCAAAAGCAGATTATTCTCTCTTTGTTTACCACTCTAATGAAGTGCACATAATTCTCTTGGTGTACGTTGATGATATTTTGATAACTGGAAATAACAATGGGCGAATACAACAACTTATTGTCTCATTAGGAAATCTTTTTGCAATGAAGGGTTTGGGTGTTCTTCACTATTTTCTTGGACTTAAGGCTCATTTTTCCAAAGATGGTTTATACCTAACTCAATCCAAGTATGCTACTGATCTCCTAAAACGGGCTCATATGGAAGGTTGCAAACCTTCCTCTACTCAAACAGCTACTGCCAAAAAGATGGATGCTTCTACTGTGAATACCTTGTAGATGTCTCCAAATATCGTAGTATTGTTGGTGCTTTACAATATCTTACTCTTACAAGGCTTGATACATGTACCAGAGTTACAGAGAAATATAGAAAAGATAATATATAATTTTGCTCAAAGTCTTTCAAATATGATTATTCAGATTTATAATCAGTTGTTAAATTTTTAGTCTTCTATATACTTTTTTGGCCCTTTCGCAATTACAGCCCCCACAACGGACCAAGACAATTGACAAATTAGTCATAGACGTATGAAAAATGGTGAATAATAAAGATAAAAAGACGAGAGGGAGGGGGAATGAAAGGGAAACAACGAAAAGTCTTTCCTTCCATGTATAATTGGGTTGGACCGATATTTATAAATCAATTATAAAATAAATTTGGATAATCATATTAATCATAGCTTCATAGTATATTTACCTTGAGAAAAATGAAAAAAATAAAACCTAAGTAACTAAATGAAAATTTGAAAATATAAGGGGTAAAGAAAAAAAAAAAAAAAAAAACATTGTTATCAATTTTCCTCTACACTTGTTTCAATATTTCAAAATTTTAATTTTTGAATAAAATTTTTGTAAAAATGAAAGAGGGCTTGAGTTGAAGCAATCCAATATGGAGTAATAGACAAATGGGTAGGAAGGGCAATGGGGCGGTTTGGGGTGGGTTTTCCATTCCCCATCCCCGCCCCCGTTTAATTTTGGTACCCCCAAAACCGTTTAAATTTTTGCTACTAATCCCCACAACCGCCTCAGCCCCGCCCCCGCCCCATAACCGGTTAAATTTAAAATTTCAATTTTTTTGATTTTTTTATTCTACCCAAGTTCTGCAGCAAAACCACATAAATCTGAAATCTGAACTACACATAATTCTACACAAGTTCTGTAACAAAACCTCAACATCATCCAACATCATCATTCATTAACAAAAAATAACATTCTTAGCATAACCACATAAATCTAAAATCTAAACTTCTGTAACAACCTTATAAATCTGAACATTCTTGCAACATCATCCAACATCATCATTTAAATAACATTCATCCAAGTTCCAACATAAAGTAATCAAATTAAAGGCTTAAAGCAACAATCTTCCACCAAACAAAGAAAAAAAAAAATTCCAAATTTCCAACAAACAAACATAAGACTTTTCCAACAGCAGCCTTAATTAAGAGGAATAAAACTACTCAAAACCACCAATTATCACCAACCTAATCTGAAATAGAATAAAAACAATGATTTTTTTAAAAACAATGTTAAGTCAAGAAAAAAACAATAATGTATAATACTAAAAAAAAAAATGTAATACCTTAGTCCAAAGCTTCATAATTTGGAGAATCATTATCATCACAATCACAAAATATATTGACATTGGATGGGTCTATGTTTGAATGAGCTCCTAAAAACAAAACAAAACATTTTAGATAGCTATTACAATAAAGAGAATTTATTTAACAAAAAAAATCAGATTTAATTACCATTCTCTTCACTCAACAACCAACTTTGAGCACACATCAAAGCCTCCAAAGTAGTTGGATGAAGTCTATTGATGAGGACTGACCACTCTGCCACCGGTGCTGAAGGCAGACTCCGATGCAACTGTAGACACCGGGATAGCTAAAATATCCCAAGCAATCCTTTTCAAAAGAGGATACTTAATTCCATGTGTTTTCTTGAAATTAGTGTTGTTCAAATCACATACCATAAAATCATAGTTAGATGTAAAATTCACCTTTTCAAAAGAGGAGCTGCATCTCGCCATAATACCAAAGCTCAGAAGCTTTTGTGGGCCAAATAATATTGCTTTTCAATTGCCATCCTTAAATCACATCAGTGTTTGGAGGTGTGACCAAATTTGGACCACATCTGGAACATTAAAATATCAATCAGTTCCAAAAGACTAATCAAATTCAAACAAAAAAGCTCCGTCTTGCAACATTAAAAATCAACAACATTGCTTGCAAATATACAAATCTTACAGAGACAAGATTGAGAGAGAGCGATATATATATATATATATATACACACACACACACACACATACCTGTTTGAAGAGCTCAAATGCGAACTAATCAATTAGAAACGAAACACGAGACAATATTTGGAATGCAGATCCAAAACGTGAACGAACAATGTATAAAACTCTCCAAAACCCATAGAAAACAGAGCTCTGGTAAATATATTGACTAAAACTAAAACCCATCTTTGACTCTGTCTCTGTCTCTCTCTTTCTCTTTTTCTCTTTCTCTACAAAAATACACACTGACACATACTCTCTCTCACTAAAACTAAAACCTGTCTGCAAACTTCACCCATCAATGGCGTAAAGCAATATCTATATTATTGGGTACCAAACTAGCGGTATAAAAACAAAATATTTTGTATCAACTCTTCAAATAACTTCAAATCCGAACCAGAAAAGAGTGTAGGACAGTAGGAGTACCTGCTATGCTAGTTACTTCGGCCTTGGCTCCTTCTTGGTTGTTGTCTTCATCAGATCTATCAGTGCCGACGCTGCCGCCTCACTATCAAAAAATAGCAATAAAAAGTGAAGTCTAAAAGTGAAATATAGGGTTTCAATATATATATATATATATATATATATAGTGAAGGTTAATTTTGTAAATATAATAACATGACAGGGTAAATTAGTAATTTTACATATTAATCGGACCGGTTTCGGGGCGAATGGGGGTGGGGATCTGAGTCCCCTGCAACCAGCGGATTTTTTTTTTAACCCCCATCCTTGCTCCATTTAAGTAAACGGCTCTTTAAATCCGCTTTAAATGGGGCAGGGGCGGGGTGATTCTCCACTGGATTGGGGATATTTGCCACTCCTACAGATGGGACATAGGCGTATGGAAAAAGGTGCATAACACAGAGAAAAGACGAGAGGAAGGAAAAGGGAAAGAAGGGGAAGCAATGATAAGTCTTTTATAATGGATCAATAGAAGTACTTCTTCTGTAGTCAGAGCCACGTGTTTTAATTTTGCGGAACCAAATTTGTACCATATAACAAAATTATTTAAAAATTATAAATTAATTATAAGGTAATATTGTTTATAATATTCATAACAACTCTTAATTCTTGCAACTGAATTTGGCTAATTTCTCTCTCTAACCTATCTCTGCAGACTCATTTTTTGACTTCTATAGTTTTTAGTGCTTTCGCAATCAATGCATTTATGGGTAGCCCCCCACACTGATCATGACAATTGATAATTAGTACATAGACGTGTTGGAAAAGCTGCATAATAAATAAGGTATACTTCACAAAGGAGGGAGATGAAAGGGAAACAACGAAATGTCTTTCCCTTCCACCAGAAGTTAGATTCCAACCCAGTTTCATTACATTATTAATTCATATTTTAAGAGTTGAATTAATCCCGAACAATTCATTAATGTCCCATTGATATGCAACTAGAGGAAAGAGAGTTTTATAAAAATATAAAAGGAAAGGAGAAAAGAAATATTTTTACTTTTAAGAGTAAATATGTGATGAATGTACGATTCAGTTAATCTTCAAAAAATATATATGATTATTTAGATTTATAATCAATTATTAAACTTTTAGTCTTCTATATAATTTTTATTCCTTTCGTAATTATAACCCCCACAACGACCGTGACAATTGACAAATGGTAATAGATATGAAAAATAATGAATAATAAAGACAAAAGACAAGTGGGAGGGGGAATGAAAGAGAAATAATGAAAAGAGGGAAGGGGAATGAAAGGGAAATAATGAAAAGTTTTTCCATGAATAATTGAGTTGGACGGATATTTATAAATCAATTTAAAAATAAATTTGTATATAATATTAATCATAGACTTCATAGTATATTTAGGTGGTGAAAAGAAAATATAAAAAAAAAACATTGTTCTCAATTTTCCTTCTGCACTTGTTTTAATTTTTGAATAAAAGTTTGGAGTACTTTGATTCTACTTTTAGAGTTGTTTTGTTTATCATGTTAAAGGTAAAGATGCACTAAACACATAAAAGTGAAAAAGGCCATGAGTTAAAGCAAACCTTCCATTCCATGGTTTTGGTTTTGAACCAAAACTATGAAAACCCATAACAACTTCTTTACATGTACTTCCCATTCCATTAATTGAGATATACCGTGAATGTGAGATCAATACAAATAGTACTTCAATATTTGACTTTCAAAAAGTATATATATATATATATATATATATATATATATGATACTATATATACAGTAATGAGGATTCACATTTATGATCCTTTTGATTGGATGCAAAATATTTTCTAAAAAATATTTTTTATTTTTTTATGTTTGATTGTGATGATTTAATGATTCGGATCCAATGGATTTGGGTCGTTACAAATTTGGTATCAGAGCGATGGTTTGAATACCGTTAGTACGACAAGTAGAGGCCTACCTAGGGTTGCATGGGGAAAATTAAATTGTATATTTATCTGCTTATGTGCAAGGTGTTAAATTGTTTGAGAAGCATGCCTACTTGTTTATTTGTTTACCTGTTTATGTGATTACGTTTTAATTGTTAAAGTTGATATCTAATGTTAGCATGATCATGCTCATTATCAGTTGGGTATTATGGGAGTATGGAAAGTGTTTAAGTCTCGTCATTTCCTGTAGAGTTTTTCATGTGAGGACTCCGTTCTTGTGTGTATTTTAGTGTCATCGTTTTTGATCCGTTCTCTCGTTTTATAGCGTCATACCACATCGAAAGGATGAGCTCTAGCTCCAATCCCATAGAAAGGGATCAGGAGCAAGTTGAAGATGATGTTTTGTTACGTGATTTGGTCCCACCAAGAAGGGGACAAGCGAGGGGAACCGTTAATCCACCTTTTTAGATAAATGAGGAGCAGTTGAGGGTGGCCGTTCAGGTAACTCTTTTTAATGCATTTCGACAGGCAGGTGCATCATCGTCACAGGTTGTGTCACCACCGGCACCACCACCACCACCACCACCTCCAAAGACAAATGAGTTAGATGATACTTTTTATCACATTGCTGAGTTTGTGAAATTGATGCCAACTCTGTTTGAGGGCGGTCCAGATCCGCTTGTTGCGGACAGTTTCATGGATAGGGTGGAGAAGCATATTAATTCCATGCATTTGGCAACAAACAAGTTGAAGATCACATTGGCGACTTACAATTTTGTTGGTGATGCTGAGATATGGTGGAAGACCGCTTCTCACACCCACAATCTAGACACAATGACCTATGATACATTTAATAAGTTGTACAATGAGAAGTACTTTTCGGCACCTAAACGGAGAGAACTAAAGAAGGAGTTTGATGGGTCGAGGCAAAGGAATATGACAGTCACTGAATATAACAACAAGTTCACATCGCTTTTGAGGTTTGCACCGGGGATTGCCAATGACGAAGAAAGAAAGATAGAAAAGTTTGTTGATGGCCTTGATCTTACCATCAGGTCAATTGTGGCCGCTTCAGAACCGACAAATTATGCGAGAGCAGTGCGAAAGGCCTTAGTTGTTGAAGGTGAAAGTAAGGATAGTAAAGCTATCAAAGAGTCCTATAAGCACAATAGGAGTATGAGTGCTTTCTTCGAGGGTCAATCAAGTAAGAAGCAGAAGCATGAGCAGTCAGGGTTCAGGAGACAGCAGTCAACCAGATCCGCACCCACAGCTTCAGTGTTGATAGGGTCTTCTAGGCCGAATGTTACTTATTTCAGATACGGACAACCGGGACACTATAAGTCCCAGTGCACTCAGGCTCAGGTAACTCAGGTAGTTTGTTTCAAATGTGGGCAGTCAGGGCACCACAAGTCCCAGTGTACTCAGATTCAAGTGGCGCCTGGTGGGTGTTTTGGGTGTAGTCAATAGGGTCATAAGGTGAAGGATTGTCCTCAGTTGGGCAGTAGTTCTGGTAGGGGTGGAGGTTCACAGTAGAGGCAGACTCAGTATGCCACAGTTCAGTCTGGGTTTCAACAGCCACTACCACCTCAACCATCTTAGCTAGTTCTGACAGCTCAGAGTTCTCGACCAGGCAGAAGGGCTTCTTTAAGTGTTCCTACTTAGCAGTCTAGTTATCAGACATATGGTTCCCAGGGGCAGAGGACTCAGGGTCGTGTATTTGCACTCACTCCAGCCGAACCATTATCCAATCCTTCAGTTGTCAGGGGTATGGTTCTTGTGTCCCATTCTTGGGCTCGAATGTTGTTTGATTCTGGTGCTTCTTATTCATTTATTGCTTCATCATTTGCTCGGGCATTGGGTTTGGAGCTCAGTCGGTTAGACAGACCGTTTTGTGTTGACACGCCGGGGTTCAGTTGCTTTTAGTAGAGTTTGTAGGAGTTGTTCCATTACCATTGCCGGACGGGTGCTTGAGTTCGAACTCATCCTTCTCGAGATGATAGGGTTTGACAATTCTTAGGATATCCTGGTTGTCATCCTTCAAGGTTATTATTGACTGTTTCAAGGGTAGAGTGTCAGTGTGTACCCCAGATGGGGATTGCTTCTGTTTCGTAGGGAATTTGGGTGTGTGATACCCCTTGACTCCGAGACATGGGTTGATCAGGCCTAAGCCCAAACCCGAGGAAATACTAAACAATTAATATATAAATAAGCAGGAATATAAAAAGATTTAAGAAATAAATAATAAAGCTGAAAGAGTTCTAAATATAAAATCCTCAAATGATAAAGACTAATATAATCTAACATTTCCAAAACCTCCAAGAGTACAACTCGGGAATCTATCTAGTGGACCCCTAAATAAAATCCCAACTGAAACATAAACAACTAAAGATAAAATCCAAATCTAAAACATGGAATGCAGTCCTACGTCGTCGGTAGAGTGAATGACCGTTTTTGCTCAGCCCGAAAAAGCTCTAAGACTGGAACCATCCGATACCTGAAAAATGATAGTGGGTTAAACCCACGAATAAGTTCTATTATAACTACAATCCAAACAAAGACCCGATATACAGATACATCCTAGATATCTCAACAGTATCTATCTAGTCCATACATACATACATATATATGTATATATATATATATATATACATATACATATATATCCACACTAAGGGACTCTCACTGGACTATAAAGGGGTCTCAACCTAAATAGAAGGCAATATGCAAAACGCACCAGTGGTGGGCATGAGTACCTAGACCTAACAGGGTACACCTCAACCATCATAGCCAGCTATGCATCCCAATGCATATACGCTCCCTAACCAACGATCCTGAGACTCAAGCTCATATCATGGTACCATAAATATATATATTCAAAGTCCATCCCAAAACTAGAGTATGTCATTCAATTGTTCATTGATCTGACATAAGATATATAATCCAGTTAGTCACTCAACTTATTCAGTTGATCCAACTTAACCGCAAATAATAATTAATCCAGGTAGTCACTCAACTTACTCAATTGATCTGACTTAAATATAAGTAGGATTCAATATTTTACAATCCATTCCCTTATTCTAATAAGGTATGTCTTAGCGTTTTGAGCTAAACCATCCCTAGTATGCCACCGTCCCATTCCGGTGCATACAATCCATCACATCCGAGTAATTACAGAACATTCTATAATAGTTCAGTAATTAAAGTCCAACACATTAATCCATGTAATTAACAGAACAAAGTTTAATCGTTCAGCAATTATAATCGAAAACCTTAATCCATGTAATTGCAGAACAGGGTTTAAAATTTTAGCAATTAGAATCCAGAGCAAGCATAGATCAAGTTTGATAAATTAATGACCCTATTGTGCATCCAAAACAAGATTTATAATCATGCTATATTTCGTTAAATTGCTAAAACAGAATTAAACAATTTAATCATTTCTATCCGTTAACAGCATGCAAGATTATTTAAACTTCCCTACTGTTAAATCCATTAGCATAAAGACATTAATTACGCAATGTGGGTTCTAATACA